GTCTTTGGACAGTGCTGGCTCTTCGGCTTTGAAACAGAGATGAGCACCGCCCCCTAGAGTCAGGAACGACTTGCACATATGTGCAAGGGAAACCTTTACTTTTACCTTAAGCATGAACAATTTCATCAAAATTGGATCAGACTTCTTTGAGCCAAGATCTTATCCTTGTTGTATATATAGATTCCTTAAAAGATTACCTTTCTGACCAGGAAAAAAATATATTGTAATTATTATGCAAAAAACTATCATTGACACACATTTCTCTTCTTTCCATTCATGTTAGGGACATGTATATTCATTTACTAATATGCTATTTTTCCCCCTCAACCAGAATAAGCATGTCAAGTATGTTGACTTGGGAGGAGCATATGTGGGACCCACACAAAATCGTGTTTTACGGCTGTCTAAGGAGTTAGGACTAGAGACTTACAAAGTGAATGAAGTTGAGCATCTTATTCATCATGTCAATGTAAGAGCAACCATTTCTTAACTTCTTCTTTTATGATGTGGGAGACTCACAAAGCTTTAATAATTTTTGAAATTTTATAATTTGGAATGGTTTGTTAAATACTCAGATTAACAAGATATGAAAGTATTCTGAAGGTTAATGAGAATCATTTGACTAAAAATATGATTGAATTGTTTTCTTCAATTTGTATAATTTCCAAATGTTTTCTTCAGTTCTTACTATTTCAGGAAGTCAGAATAGGCAGAATATTTTATTTAGCATAAAGATTGAAAGATAGACACAGCTGGGATGATATATAGTTTAGCCAGTTGGCTATTTCTTTTGCAGGTATCTCCTATCAAATCTTTTTAGCGGTTGACCTCTAGTCATGAATATTTTTGTGTTAGCTAACATAGCTAACACCAATTGTCAGTCCAAACCATAGTGCATTTTTAAGGATAAAATGCAGGGAGAGAACCCCATATGTGCATTGCTTTCAGAAAATTCAGGGAGCCATAAGTAATGCACAATACCAATTTTGTGGCTTTCAGACCACTCTGTGTTACACACAAAAATTCATTAGCAAAAATTATGTTTGATAGTGATTTTTTCTATTTTCTCTCTCTCAAAAAATAAGAAGCAAAATTTAGTAGGATACAGAGACGTGCAGTCAGGGGAGGCAGGGGAGGCAGAGCCTCACCACTGTCACCATGAAAAGAAAAAAAATGTAAAAGGAAAAATGCAAGAGCTGAGGTC